GGACAGATGGACGGACAGATGGAAGGACAGATGGAAGGACAGATGGACGGACAGATGGAAGGACAGATGGATGGACAGATGGAAGGACAGATGGACGGACAGATGGAAGGATAGATGGATGGACAGATGGACGGACAGATGGACGGACAGATGGAAGGATAGATGGACGGACAGATGGACGGACAGATGGACAGACAGATGGACGGACAGATGGACGGACAGATGGATGGACAGATGGAAGGATAGATGGATGGACAGATGGATGGACAGATGGATGGACAGATGGAAGGATAGATGGATGGACAGATGGATGGACAGATGGATGGACAGATGGAAGGATAGATGGATGGATGGCATTTCCAATCACCCTCTTTTCTCAGTGATGGGGACAAAAAATGGGACATTGGGCTAAATGTAAATAAACAAAATGAAATAATGTGCAACTATGGACAAAATATATTTTACTTTAATTTGATGGCAGTGACCGGTGTCAAACCCTCAGAAATGACTCAAAGATTTAACTTGAGTAATCTGAGCAGCGTAAACAAAAATATTACATTTAAGAATGCATATCACTCGCCACCTTTTTAAACTAGGATCTTGTGGTGATAAATGATTCTTGGTCGTGACTGGGCTCAGAGTAAATGTTGTGAATGACTCTCAGCTACTACCACACCAAATGTTCGCAAGTTTAAATCAGACTGAGACACTTTTTGTGTTTTTAATGAAAGTTGGCTGTGGCAGCCATCTTGAATCATACAGAAGAAGGTGTTTTGAAGCCAGTAATGAATGACACGTCCCGTTAGTTCCAGACGTGAGGACAAATATTCAGAGGACACTTCCAGTGGCTCTGTCCAACTCTTAAGACGAGTAAAGTTAAATGAAGTTAGGGAGAAGAAGCAGGGCGGCTGGAAACCACAGACTAAATCACCATTAAACCGCACCTTACTGAAAACCTCCAGGTCCTCGTCCTCGTCCAGCATGTGTCCTGAAATGTCCGCGGAGACCGTGTGTCCACTCATAACACTTCACTTCTTCAACCTGACCCACCGGGCACATCAGAGACGAACTTGGAGAAGTTCTGAGCGGAACCACAGCGGCGGCGGCGGCGGACGTCAACTCCCTGCACTTCCGCTGCAGGGCTTTCAAAATAAAAGCACAGTGGAACTCTAGCAGAATGAGTCACGCACAAAGTTTGCGTGGATGTAGACAAACCTTTACATACGCCAGTATCAAACTAGACCATTGTCTGAACGTCTGGATTGAAAGTGTCCAGTCCATATGGGCAGGTATTCGCTCCACAAAGTAGTTCCTCCTAAGTTTACTGAGCTTGCTACATTGTTTTGTTCTGTGTTTTCAAGTACTTTGAACATTTTAAATTGAATTTTAAAAGATTTTTACTGTTTTATCCTCTGGTTTTTTTTTTTTTTAACTCATTTACCGTTATGGGACAGTACAGTTCAACAACCTGCGTTTGGCAGATCCAAACTTGAAGTCAGTGATCTGAACAGCCAGGTCCAACATTTTCATTTGGACATCAGATTTTCTGCCCTGTGGACACATTCAGCTGGTTTTAGCCCATTGATACGACATCTACCTAGACCAGACATGAGTTCAAACCCAGGAACAGCTGCAGTGAAACCTGCTGAGGCCAACAGTGGAGACATTCTGTTTTTAAGTCCATTTGGAGCAGACAGAGGGGGACATGAACAGAAAACTGAGAAGAATAGAGTAAAATCAAAGAACAGGAAGTTTCTGCCAATATATTAGTATCTTAAACAAACAATCGCATGACTTCTGTGTGTGTGGCTGTGGGGGTCGATGGCTGAAGCAGGGGTCTTGTATCTTAGTTCAATTCCTGCTTGAATCTTCTATTTGGTGATGATATATTGTATCAGAATTTTTCAGTTTTATTTTGTTTTGGTGTTACTTCACTGATCTTTTGTTTCTCTAATTTAAATGTGTTAGTCTGAGTATTATTTCAGACATATTACTTCAGATCAAATTAGAAATCCAGTTCAAAAAGCTGTGCACCTGTCGGCTGGGGGTGGAAGGCGTCCGTTTCTCTGACCGAACTCTTTTACACGAGACGCAACATCGACCTGCAGGAGGAAGGAAAAGGGCAAAAGACACATACCAAAAATCAACAATAATAAATTAAATATCAAGCAATATATCAGGCTTTTTTTCCTCACAGAAAATGTAAAACAATTTGTAAAAATTTTCAAGCAATGTCTGTCCACCTCTCTAATATTTTTGTTCAGGAGCTGCCACTGACATCAAGTTAAGCGTTTGCAAACATTTTCGTTCAGCATTCATTTTTATATGTTAAACCAGCCACTAGGACTCACAAGCCAGTGTATCTCTTGTGCCGGTCCCAAGCCCGGGTAAATGGTGAGGGTTGTGTCAGGAAGGGAATCTGACGTAAAACACTTTTGCCAAAACTATAATGTGAGTTCATCAAAGTGAAACCATACCAGATCGGTCGAGGCCCGGGTTAACAACGACCGCAACCGTTGCTGTTGACAAACAGGGTGCCGGTGGAAATTGTGCTACTGTTAGTCGAAGATCAAGAGGAGTGAAACGTGTCAGGAGACAGAGGGAGAAGAGGAAAGTCAAGAATGTAGAACTGAGGGTTGCAACTCTAAATGTGGGGACAATGACAGGCAAAGGTAGAAAGCTGTGGCAGCTGTGGCTGAGTGGTTTGAGCAGTCGTCCTCCAATGCAAGAGTTGGGGGTTCGAATCCACCAGCAGTCACATGTCGAAGTGTCCCTGGGCAAGACACTGAACCCCTCATAGCATCTGATGTGTGTCCCACCAGTGTATGAATGTGATCTAAGGTCATTTTCACACCAGATAGTCCGGTAGACTCGGTTCGGTTCGGGACCAATATTCATGACCTTTTGTTACATTTGAGCTGGTGCGTTTGCATTCACACTGCACTGTGCAGTCGAGTCAACCTGTTGAACCAACCTGTTCCCCCGCTCGCCTGTGGGGGCGCTGCACCAAGAACTACTGAAAGAAACGACACAAAAACCTCTGAAGACACGTCTTCTTCTTCTTCTATAAATAAAAATAAAAACGAAGTGGCATCAAGTTTTAGCAGTTTTAGGAGTTATATTTTGTCATTTTTCAAAAATGGACTTAGCATGAGCAGAAGATGAGACAGAAGACCATGGAGAATATTGTTTTTCCACATAAGGCAGCTGACGGCTCCATATAAGGTCAGAGAAATGCGTGTTTGTTTGTCCTGTGGAGCGGGGCTCGGTCTGTTTACATTCACACTGTACTCGAACCGCGCTGGAGTTCCTTTCTACCGGACCGAGACCTAGGTTTTAGCCCGGGCCAGAGTTCGCCTTTTTGTTCCGTGAAAGAGTTCGATGGCGCGTTCACACCTCCCTAAACGAACGAGACTTTCTAGGAAAACGAGCTAGACTTCGATTAAAGCGGACTAAACAGGGCTGGTGTGAATGCACCCTAAAGCACCGATTAGTCTCATTAGAATGATTTGTTCAATTAGCTTTGTAGAGATCTAGTAGAGTGCTGTATGAATGGGTAAATGAGGCACAGATTGTAGTGTAAAGCGCTTTGAGTATCTTGAAATAAGATAGAAAGGCGCTATATAAGTACAGTCCATTTACCATAATGCAGAGAAGGACAGTAGATGTTTTATGTGTCCAAGAGACCAAGTGGAAGGGCAGCAAGGCTCGCAGCATTGCCCTTAAAAGAAGAGGAATGTAAGTAACGTAAGTATGTAAGTAAGCTGTAGTAAGACAGAGTACATGTGAATGAGAAGAAGGCCGGTGGAACAGTGAGCCTGCAAGGAGCAGAGATCACAAAGATGCAGGACTTCAAGTACTTGGGGTCCACTTTCCAGGAAAATGGGGAGTGTGGTAAAGAGGTGAAAAAGAGAGTCCAGGCAGGATGGAGTGGATTGAAAAAAGTTTCAGGAGTGATTTGAGTCAAAAGGGTATCTGCAAAGGTCAAAGGAAAATTTACAAAACAGTGGTGAGACCAGCTGTATTGTATGGTCTGGAGACAGGGACATGGACAAAAAGACAGGAGACAGAACGGGAAGTGGCAGAAATGAAAATGTTGAGGTTCTCCTTAGGAGTGACAAGGATGAATAAGATTAGGAATGAGATCATCAGAGGTACAGCACAGGTTGAACAACTGGGAGATAGAGAGGACACACTAAGATGGTTTGGACATGTCCAGAGGAGGGACAGTGGGTATATTGGTAGAAGGATGTTAGAAATGTAGCTGCCAGGAAAAAGACAAAGAGGAGATATATGGATGCAGTTAGAGAGGACATGGAGGTAGTTGGAGTGAGGACAGAGGACACAGAGGATAGAGTGAGATGGAGAAGGATGACTCGCTCTGGCGAACCTTGAAGAGGAAAAAGCTGAAAGAAGAAGAAGATTAATTTTGATAAGTTCTTGAGTCTAAAGCTCTGTTCCATCCCAGGCAGTTTTGATTCAGGACAAAATTTTTTTTTAATAATTTGTTTCTTAGATTGATTTAGTTTCTTGCCCTCCACAAGCACTGCAGACTATTGGCTATAAAGCTATTATCTGGTACAGGGCATCTCCTCAATTGGAGTTTAATAAAAAAAAAAAAAAATTCATTCATTTAAAATAAACAAAACAAATTCATCAAAAAGAAAAGAAAAACATTGAATGAAAAGGGTGTAGAAAGAAGAAAAAATTCTTATAATATCTGCCCCTTATTAAAAAAAACAAACAAACATAAAATAACTACAAACAAACAACAACCTACACTTAAACAATCTTCAAATTGAAAACAAGAAACATCAGGTATCCTTCACCTGGCACTACATCATCCCAACAATTTTAACTTAATCATCTTTTTAAACATATAAATTGTTTTAGAGGCAGCACGGTGGCGCAACTGGTAGAGCTGCTGCCTCTCAGTGAGAAGGTCCCTGGTTCAAACCCCGGTCCAGGGGCCTTTCTGGGTGGAGTTTGCATGTTCTCTCCGTGCATGCGTGGGTTTTCTCCGGGTGCTCCGGTTTCCTCCCACAGACCAAAAAAAAACAAACATGCATGTTAGGCTGATTGGTAACTCTAAATTGTCCCTAGGTGTGAGTGAGAGAGTGAATGGTTGTTTGTCTCTATGTGGCCCTGTGATGGACTTGCGACCCGTCCAGGGTGTACCCCGCCCCTCGCACAGTGATTGCTGGACATGGGCACCAGCGACCCCCGTGACCCAAAATGGAACAAACGGGTAAAGAAAATGGATGGATGGATGGAAATTGTTTTAGAAATTTTTATGGTGATATCAAGTCAATTCTACAACCCTGTTCCCTGAATTACAACACAGCTCCTTCATAGTTCTAAATGGAGGTTTTACAAACATTTCCAATTCCTTAATGTTATAATAACTCTCTTTAAAAAAATGAATATTTGGAGGTAATATTTTATTATGAGATTTATAAATGGCTTGCAAAATACTATATTCAACCAAATCATAAAATTTTAATAATTTCAACTGATAAAATAATATGTTTGTTGGGTGACCATAGCACTTCCTACTTATAATTCTTATAGCTCTTTTTTTTTTGTAAAATAAAAAAAGGTTTTGTAATTGTTTTGCATGCTTTTCCTCAAACCTCAATTCAGTATATTAAATATGAAACAATAATTACAATATACAATATAAAGCTCTGTCATTGAAAAACTCTTTTACTTTATACAGTAATGCAATTGATTTTGCTATTTTTATTCTTAAGTCATTTACATGACATTTCCGTTAGCTTCTCATCAATAACAGCACACAAAAATTGTATTTAATTAACTGTATGGATTTCAATACTGTCAATTTTAAATGGGACTTTGATAATTTGTTTTCTATTACTAAATAGCTGGGGTTTTTTTTTTTTTGTTTATTTTCTACCAAATTCAATGATAACTTATTAAGTTGGAACCAAGTTTGTATTTTTACGAATTCCGCCGGTATCATCTCTAACATCCATCTGTTCAATATCTTCACCTGAACAAGAAAATGTGGTATCATCTGCAAATAAAACACTTCAAAAGCCCTGACACATCAACCAGATCATTCACATACAAAATAAACAACTTTGGTCCCAACACAGAG